CTCTTTCACTCACACAGTACGACATACTCTAATAACACTGTACGCCATTCTCTAAGAACACTGTACAACATACTCTAAAAACACTGTACAGTACAACATACTCTAAAAACACTGTACAACATACTCTAAAAACACTGTACGACATCCTCTAAAAACACTGTACGACATACTCTCATAACACTGTACGCCATTCTCTAAGAACACTGTACAACATACTCTAAGAACACTGTACAACATACTCTAAAAACACTGTACGACATACTCTAAAAACACTGTGCGACATACACTAAAAACACTGTACGACATACTCTCATAACACTGTACAACCACTCCCATGTCTGTGTGGAGTGAGAGGACAAATTCCCAAAATTAACAATTGTAAACCGCTTTGTGACTCTGGTCTGTGAAAGGCGGTATATAAATAAAGATTACTTACCTACAACATACTCGCATAACACTGTACAACATACTCTAACTTCATGTTAATAAATGTGTTTCAGTTCAGTACAAGTCTGGGTTGGCAGGAATTGTATTCCAGTGGAAATCTAGAGTATCAACAAGACATTTGGTTTGAGCCATATGGAAGATTCTGCGACCTGCGTGCACTGCCTTTCACGCACACCTGGGTCATCCACAGCCCACGGGTTTGGAAGGTGTCAGCAGGTTGAGCATCAACCACACTCTGCCCTTTCCTTGGTTCCAGAGCCAGTCACCTAACCAGCTGTGCTCCGAAGCCTGCCTGTTCTCGACCGCCGATGGCCATACCTCCGCTCCTGAGAGTGATCACAGCCTCTGGTCGCCCACGGTCAGCCACAACTGGGCAGTCCTGCTCCTGGCCTCAAACCCGGCAGGCTATGTTAGCAATAAACCAGCTAAAAGTTCGTCCCATTTTCAATCCCAGGCTGTGGGTTTGAAATGCTGACCAAATGTACATATGCACATATTTTCATATTTGGCTATATTTTTCAGAATAAGAATATTTCAATGCCTTTGAACAGGAAATTCACAAGAAGTAGAAAAAAGTGCATTAGAATAGAGAACTATGCGTTTTTTAATCAGGCAATAAAGCATGGCATACTTTGCCTGAAGCCCCCATTGAAAGATAATGGGTGCTCTATCCATGACAGAGCAGATGAATGCAACATAGATGATCCTTAGTCAATGATAGAACTGTAGAATAAAGTGCAGGTATCCAAGTTATAAAGTGCCAGGAGTATAAAGAGACTAATTTAAGTAGTGAGTCATCAAGTCTTCATGAGTCCAACTGAAGAAACTGTCCTTGTGACGGTAGGTTCTGGTGCGGATGGACTTTTGGAAGAGGATATTTTGTTATCCTGGCCATTAAAAATAATAATGACACTATTTAGTAAGATATACCATGTTTTTGAATGTGAAATAATATCTTAAGTAGAAAATATATGATAAAAAGGTTTGCTTGGTACTTGGTATCATACTATGAGGCTTTTGAGGTTGAGCTTAATGTTATTCCACGAATCGTGAGTTACATATCTTTCAACAGAAAATTTAATGCATGTGTGCAACCTTGAAATTGTGTTCAGTCATGTTGTGTTATTTTTAGCTAAAAGAAACTCATCTATCTTGTTTAAAAGGCGGTTCCCCATATTGCAATGGTTTATGGGTCACTGTGTTTTTATAATCACAAAGGAATATGTACACAGCCTTGTACCTTTACCTTTTCTTCAACATTATACCTTGTTTTTGGACGGAAATAAAACATTTCATCTTCACAAATTTGCGTGAGTTTTATCCTTTAAGGGCAATGTCACCCACCTATAATTAATAGAAAATTATTTTCCACCAGAAGCTGAAAGAAAGAAATCATACATATTGAGTTCAAGTATCACGGGGTCTTGTTCACAAGTGTGGAGATGGAGTCAGAGATTGACCGATAAATCGGTGCAGCGTGCGCAGGGATGCAGTGGCTGTATCGGACAGTTGCGGTGAAGAGGGAGCTGAATCGAAAGGCAAAGCTCTCGATTCACCGGTCGATCTTCATTCCCTCCCTCACCTATGATCGTGAGCTTTGGGTAATGACCGAAACGACAAGATTGCAGAGACAGGTGGTCCAAATGAGCTTCCTCCACAGAGTGCTTGCATGGGCAGTGAAAGGGTGAGGAGTTCAGTCACACTGAAGGAGCTCAAAGTAGAGCCACTGCTCACCAACAGTTGAGGCTCGGGCATCTGTTCCGGATACCTCCCTCCCTGGGGCATGTTCTGCCAGGAGACACCGGGGAAGGGGTTTTAGAATGCTCAAGGAATGGGCTACACTGGCCTAGGAATGCCTTGGGATTACCCCGGATGAGCTGGTGGGTGTGTAAATGGATAGGGAAGTCTGGGCATCTCTGTCTAGACTGCTGCCCCTGCGACCTGGCAATGGATGAACCCCGAAGAAAATTTATGGATGGATCTATATGAATTGTAAACATTTGTGCATGATTTGCCTGTATGTGCTTTGCCTGAGAATGTGTCAGAGAGAAGTAGACTTGCTTTCATACATAAATAATCTTTCCTTCATAGCCAATTTTTGTTAGACTCTGTGCTTGTCTGATTAAATGAAACACCGGTAATATATTCAAATGGAATCAGTTTTAATTACCGCCACTTAGGTAATGGAAATCCTATAGTGTCTATTTGTTGTTTCATTGTGAACTGGTCTGACGGCTGGATTATTCTACATCAATGCCAAGCCGCAACCTAAATAAGAAATGTATTTAGTAAATAGATAATGTTAACACTGAATCTCTGAATAAAGGGAATAAAGATAATCTTGAAATAAGTGAATTCATTTCTGAGTTAAGTAGCAAATTTGCAGTTTTATAATAGACCCACCGACCACCACACAACAATAGTTTGGCACATTACATCCGCACTTCTGTGGAACCTGGTATTCCCAGAGGTCTCCCATACTGACCAGGCCCTGCCCCGCACAGCTGACAGGATCTGGCTTTCGCATGCAATATGGCAACATATTATGCAGTTTTGGATTTATTATATTATTACAAAAAACTTTTTTGACAAATGTCTTAAGTTTTCTTGAAAATAAAATCAATATTAACTGCTCAGGAAAGGCTGGTGACCCATAAAACATGATCTCATGGCCCATAAATGGTTTTCAAGTTAAACAATATGAATGGGACTTTAAATGTATGAATCATTGTAAAAATAAAGCCTTTTTCACTATTTGTGTGGATTTCATTGTAGGCCTTATGCATCTATAATTAAATACCTAATCATTATCCCTCCATTATTAAATAAGGTATATACAGTGGGGTAAAAAAGTATTTAGTCAGCCACCGATTGTGCAAGTTCTCCCACTTATAATAATGACAGAGGTCTGTAATTTTCATCATTCTCACTTCAACTGTGAGAGACAGAATGTGAAAAAAAAAATCCAGGAATTGACATTGTAGGATTTTTAAAGAATTTATTTGTAAATTATGGTGGAAAGTAAGTATTTGGTCACTTACAAGGAGGATCTCTGGCTCTCACAGACCTGTAACTTCTTCTTTAAGAAGCTCTTCTGTCCTCCACTCGTTACCTGTATTAATGGCACCTGTTTTAACTTGTTATCTGTATAAAAGACACCTGTCCACAGCCTCAAACAGTCGGACTCCAAACTCCACTATGGCCAAGACCAAAGAGCTGTCGAAGGACACCAGGAAAATAATTGTAGACCTCCACCAGACTGGGAAGAGTGAATCTACAATAGGCAAGCAGCTTGGTGTGAACAAATCAACTGTGGGAGCAATTATCAGAAAATGGAAGACATACAAGACCACTGATAATCTCCCTCAATCTGGGACTCCACGCAAGATCTCATCTCGTGGGGTCAAAATGATCATGAGAACGGTGATCAAAAATCCCAGAACCACACGGGGGGACCTGGTGAATGACCTGCAGAGAGCTGGGACCAAAGTAACAAAGGTTACCATCAGTAACACACTACGTCGACAGGGAATCTAATCCTGCAGTGCCAGACGTGTCCCCCTGCTGAAGCCAGTGCATGTCCAGGCCCGTCTGAAGTTTGCCAGAGAGCACATGGATGATACAGCAGAGGATTGGGAGAATGTCATGTGGTCAGATGAAGCCAAAGTAGAACTGTTTGGTGTAAACTCAACTCGTCGTGTTTGGAGGAAGAAGAATACTGAGTTGCATCCCAAGAACACCATACCTACTGTGAAGCATGGGGGTGGAAACGTCATGCTTTGGGGCTGTTTTTCTGCTAAGGGGACAGGACAACTGATTCGTGTTAAGGAAAGAATGAATGGGGCCATTTATCGTGAGATTTTGAGCCAAAACCTCCTTCCATCAGTGAGAGCTTTGAAGATGAAACGTGGCTGGGTCTTCCAGCATGACAATGATCCCAAACACACCGCCCGGGCAACGAAGGAGTGGCTCCGTAAGAAGCATTTGAAAGTCCTGGAGTGGCCTAGCCAGTCTCCAGACCTCAACCCCACTGAAAATCTGTGGAGGGAGTTGAAAGTCCGTGTTGCTCGGCAACAGACCCAAAACATCACTGCTCTCGAGAAGATCTGCATGGAGGAATGGGCCAAAATACCAACTACTGTGTGTGCAAACCTGGTAAAGACCTATAGTAATCGTTTGACCTCTGTTATTGCCAACAAAGGTTATATTACAAAGTATTGATTTGAATTTTTGTTATTAACCAAATACTTATTTTCCACCATAATTTACAAATACATTCTTTACAAATCCTACAATGTGAATTCCCGGATTTTTTCTCACATTCTGTCTCTCACAGTTGAAGTGTACCTATGATGAAAATTACAGACCTCTATCATTATTATAAGTGGGAGAACTTGCACAATCGGTGGCTGACTAAATACTGTTTTGCCCCACTCTACATACCGATAAAACTGCAATACCCATAATCCTCCGCTCGACAGCTCGTTTGTGATTGGTCAGAATATAGTCCAATCCCAGTCGGCCGTGTACTGCAGTTTGAGCATCCTTCCGTCATGGCGTCTGTGTGGTGTAAATCGCTCGCGAATCCTGCGGTTTTGGCCGTATTTCTCCTGGTTCTGCTTCTTCTCCCGCCTGGAGGGGGACAGAAGAAGAAGGAGGTAAGATCACCAATCCAGTGTGTCAATTGAAATGTCAAGTTATCCAAAAACACGTCGCAAAAACTCATTGCGGTGTCCCATGAAGCTTACTGCTGCCGAAAGAGCTGATTTCCCGATCAGGAAGAGGCATTTATTGTTAATTTATTCTCCTCAGTATGTTTATTATTGTGTGGTAAACATTGTATTGAGCTTTTCTTAGTCTCGTGTAACACTGTGCATGCACATGGATACAGTGTAGCTAACGTGAGTAAACATTATGCTAAACATGAAGGTATGCGCGACATGTAAGCTAACTAACTAATGTAAGTCATTGCAGTCGTCTTCTGTTTTTGTGATGTTGAATCTAAACTTATAGCTGTCTTTCTATTGCCTCAATGCTTTGTTGAACGCCGTTGATATGTGTTTCCATTAGCACAAAGCTAATCTGTGATCTATATATGGTCATCTATGCCATTATTAGCTAGCAGGATTTGATGAGTAGTTTGTACCTGTGCACCTTCCTTGACTTTCAGCTTTACGTGACAGCTTTTTGGGCCTCTTTCTCTGGAAACTAAAAAAAACCCCTCTTAGACCGCAGACGTCCGCCAAGAGGTGCAGTTCCTGTCCTTTTAAATATTGATGATGAGTGTGTTACCTTGATAACTAACAAACTCATCCTGGTTATTATCCAGCTGGAGGATTGTGCCCTATGCATGGATTAATGGTAGGCCCCTGAGCACAAAATGAACATTGAGACCCTGTGAAGAAAAGTCGAGCAGCATTCTTCCTCTTAAGGCCAAATAGTCAGGAGAGATTGTTCGTAGTGATTTGTTGTTTAAATTTTTCAAGCACCTCCTGGGTTTTAGTATTATTATTATTATTATTATTGACAACAAACAACATATTTATTGTGCATAGTTTTCCCTGTTTTGATGACAGTATTAGTATTACAAACTTTAATTTAAGAAGTTTGGCTGCCTTGAGAATGAAAAAGATTTCTCTCTAACTAATTCTTGAATGAAATTGAATGAAAAAACTACTCTAGGCCTGTGCATGAAGGCCAAAAAGCACTGGAATGATGCTTTAAAGCAGAGAAAAGTCAAACGGCGTATTATTGCACATATTTTAAAGTTTGAGATACACCTCTAACCGGTTGATTTATTGGTTAATGCTCTCTTAGGTTTTGTTAGTTGACAAATCATTTAATCTTACATGTTGTAAGATTAAATTAAGGTATTCACTACTATTCATAACTTGCCAAAAGGGTCACAAAGTATTCACAAAATAATACACTTCAAAAAAATATTTACCAATTATATTTAGTAGTATAGTCTGTCTGAGAAATGTCTTCTTTAATCTGGCCTGATTATGTAAATATCATAGATTTGGGCTGAATTTCTCCATTGTACCATTTGCTTCAGTTTTCATATAGAAAACATTGTTTGAATAAAACAATTTGTCAACCAACAAAACCTAAGAGAGCATTAACCAATAAATCAACCGGTTAGAGGTGCTTCTACGTTTAGTTTATTGTTTTTGTCACTGTCTCTTTAAGGGGGAGAGTCGTGCACCAAGTTGGGCGATCAAGAAGAAGCATGTGCAGTATAGAATATTAGTAGAATATTCTTTTCAGACGTTTTGAACCACTTGTGATGTTCTTTTTTGTTGGGATGTTTTGTAGAGATCACCTGTTTCATTCAATACACTGCTGCTGTTTCTCATACCTCACACTCAAACCACATAAGTCACAACTAGGGCTGGGCAATAAACCAAATTTAGGCAATTAACTCATTGACTGCCATTGACGTATTTGTCTGAGACCCTCTATTCGACAGGGGAGTACAAGACAATAAAAACAGCTAGAAACAAACTTATTTTTGCTGATCAAAGTAGACAATCCAGTCTTTCAGAATCTGGTTTCACATAGTCTTAGGAAACTTTTTCTGTGGGTCTTGAGGATCAGTGAAATTGAAATGTCTCCACTGTGAGACAAATAAAGGTTTATCTTATCTTAAATCATCAAAAACGGCTGGCAGTCAACAAGTTAATCCGCTTTTGAAAAAATCGAATTTGGGAAAAATGTGAATCGTGAAATCGAATGAAGGATATTGTAAGAGTTCCTGCAACACGTGAATTATAAATAAAATTAAGAATAGTTTTGAAACTTGAATATTGAGTGGAAAGATCAAAAAATATTTTTAAGTCAGTCTGTCTTTTGGTGAGTTTAATGAAGTACTGTCCCTCAAAATGAAACCGGTATTATTGTGAACAGTATTCTATTGCCCAGCCTTGTCTCTCTCAGAGCCACACAGGCGCAGTTTGAATGAGCCATGGGAGTCATATCATGGGTTTTAATGTGAGAAATGTATTTTGCCTATAGTCTAAGGCCATTGCGGGAAAGTTTGATGAATGTTATTCAGGTGGCAATGGGAAAAATTGTGAAGTAGCAATTTGTATTCACTTCATGGTTTCTAGTCTCCATTTGTGCTCTTATATTTGCACTCTTTATTTTGTTTCCCTTGCGCGCCACAATATCTCTCCGGCTCAAACCTTTGGCGTCTAGTCCCGACTTCCCACAGCACAGTGGTATTTAAATATCCAGTGGCCATTACTACAGTTTCCACGATCAGGCCATTTAATAAACATGACCATTTTTTTCAATGACTAATACATTGTTTTTTTGACATAGATTTGTTTTTTCCCATCTACAGTTCCTACACAATATTTGTTTGTACTTTTTACTCTTAATGTTTTAGTGGGTCTTATCGACATGGGCATGCGCAACCTGGTTCAATATTGCTGTTAAAGTTATGAAAGGGTTAGTGATTACATGAACATAAGTCAGTCACGTTTGCCAAGTGTGCTTTGTTTTGTCTCTCGTCAACGTTCTAAAACTGACAGCTCTGCAAAAGTTGTCTACTTTGTCTTCATTTTGAGTAAAACTGCACTCTGGTTGTCTCTGGAAGTGATGAAAAGTGAATGTGAAACATACTGGGACTGCAGCAATTGTTGAATCTAATTATGAGTTTATAAACGAAAAGATGGAGAATCTATTACTTAAATTAGAATAGTCAAAGTGAGACGTGGGTATTTGCAGGAAACGCGAAATGACTTCATCCTTATCTGGATTGGGTTTACAGAGCAGAGGCAGCTGTACTGGAGTCAGGAATCTCACATCAGCACAGCACAGGTCTTTGCAAAGGTGTGCTGCAATGCAAGAATAGAAATGATATTAGCCAAAACGCTGATCTGCGCACCTTTTTATGAAAATGTTATTTATAACCTATAGAATATGTTCTATATGCAACTCTAGCTTTCTCTGGGAAAATCTGATTAAATTAAATGATGGATGGAGGAGTGGAAATGGGCAGTGAGAGTTGGCGCCACAGAACAGGCAAGGTAAGTTTATCTGTATAGCAACTTAAGTAAAAACCTGGATTTGAGAGTAGAAGTCCCTCTCACATTTTCCAAGAGACTGTCTCTGAAGATTTGGCCTGAATCTGATTTGCTATCTCCCCATGTGTAGTCTATTTGACTCGAGTGTTCTTCAGAGACCCAACAGGAGACTCGTCAAAATTATACAAAATTACTTTATTGCCTCCTGTGGACTCACCACCTGCAGAGGGTCAGTGAGGGGCTGGTGCTATGAGACTTGGGTGGCATCTCTGACTGCCACCCCCCTGACCCAGAAATGGATTAAAGGGTAGAAAATGGATGGATGGATGGATACTGTATTTCCATAATGGGATACCGGTACAAAGTGTTGAATGAGAATCTCCAAGTTTTCAACACTATAATTTAAAAAAAAGCTGATAATAATTTGATGATGTGGATGTTAAAATTAAGTCAATTATTACCTCTAGATTGACCTGATTGTTTTGGGAAGAGAGAGCTGTGGTTAAAACACTTTGCACTGTACATGTAGAAAGTGGAAGTTGAGAAAGGGATTTATGTGAAAGAAATCATGGTAAATTGATGGAACAGACCTGACCTGCATTTTAGTGTTCAGAATAATAGAAGTGAAACATATATTTTAGTCAAACTGATAGATCTTCAGGTAGTGGTAAAACAAAAGCAGACCCTTTATTATCATAGCAGTGCTGGGTATTATGTGGCCTGTGTTTCTGCCTTTGGGCTGACTGCAGCACAAAGAAACAACTCATGTAAGCATTTCCTGTTCTTCAGGTTATGGAGTCAGGGGAGCTACCAGAAAAGTCCAGGCCAGCACGACGGAGAATTATATCAAGTATCCAGAGAGTAGTATATCTGTGGAGAAATATAGATTGCAAACTGTGCGGCTGTATCCTGGGACCCAAGGACCAGTCAAATAAGTGGATTGGAATAACAAGAGGCTGGCCCCATGCACACCCGGGCACAATAACCAACTCTGTCCCTCAGGGCATTGCTGACCACTCGCAACTTTATAGCCTTATGAAGTTCTTTGGTTGAGATAAAACGGAGTAAGCATTATTGTCTCAAGATTCATCTGAGGATAAAGTGCAGTTCAACAATTTTTTACTGGTTTTGTTCCCATCAAATCGTGCGCAGACAGGTAGAATTAGAGCAAGGAAGGTCCCTCATTAAATATGCCTGTTAAAATGATTTTGTAGAATTCAAACTGATTTTCAAGGTAGAAGCGAAACAGAGCTGTCTATATATTTGGCAAAATTAATATTTTATTTTTAACAAGTGATTATAATGTTAATTGAGGTGCAACTTTTTCCCTTTCCAGCTCTGATACACCTGGACAGAATACTTTTAAGGGTTATACTTAATTGTATTTATTTATGATCTGCATTACCTAGTTATTGTTGCATCTACTTTCATTTAAACTGATGCTATAGTACTTGTGCTATATTTGGTAGTGAATATTGGTATTAGGAAAAAATCCAAAATGGTGCCCCAGCTAAATTTCAACTAACAAAATGGCAGCCCAAATGATGGCCTCAATCTCCTCAAAACCTCACTTTAAACCTTTGTTTCCGAGAAGGTCAAGATTTGTACATGTTGATGAGGACACT